TGTTCTTAGCGAGCTGCTCATCATTCCCTGATAGTGCTTTCTGACACCTGCCCCTGCCGGATTCATCGGGTACTGTGTACAAACCCTTGAATCACGCCGAACCTTCGTCGACCTCCCACACAGCGACACCTGGCCCGCCCTCCGTCCCATCACCGCTACATTCTTGCTCTCTATCTTACCTTCGATGATATGAGACGAAGCGCGGCCTTTTCTCGACCTCCCAATCGATATCGCCCTCTCGTCTTCCATATCAGTCGCTGTATGCCATTCCGCCTCCTCGCTGCCCACGCCCTTATGTCCTACAACGCACCGCTATATGAAAACTCCAGCTTTGCGCTGTTTGTGACAGGCTAAGATGCCAGCCCATACTGCGGAAAGCTCATCTTCCTAAGCTGGCCCCTCATCACATCGTGGAAATGTCCCCGATACGTCCTGTCACTCGAATGCCACGTTAGTTGCACTGGTCGGGAGAGTCCCCAGTACGACGGCCTGCTCGTTGCGCATGCGGCTGTATCTAATGGTGAGTCCAGTCGTCATTTGACCTCCTCGTCGGTCATTAACTCTCATAGTCACAGAGCCACTTAACGCGCCGTCGCACACCTATCCCCGAACTCTCGCCTTGTCGACTATCTAATGAAATCCCTTGGTTCTCCATTCCAACCCATTGATCCGGGTCGCACATTCTTCAGGCGCACTGCCCTCCTCAATGCCCAGCGACCTGCGCGGCCAGAACACGATAGCTATCGTCCTCGGACCGCCTCGTTTGGCTCTTCAGAAGAGACATTACCGAAAAGCAGCAGCATCGAGAGCAGTCTGTCAGCAAGCCGCTCGTCGCCCTGAAGCCCAGACAGGAAGCCGTCGTCGTCGCGGCCGTAGGGCAAGCGGGAGCGCCGATTTGCCTGCGCAGGCGGCGATAAGCTCGCGGTTCTGCAGGTCAAGGTCTCCAGGCATTCGAAATGCATTTCAAGTTTCGATATCACCGAGAAATTGCAAAAGAAGGCGTGCAAGGCCTACATCGAGCTGGCCAGATCCGAAGTCTTGCTCGGCGCACCTAGGATATTGAACGAGCCGAACGAACACCTACGCCTCGCGGTTTCTGTCCTTTGCGCTTACGCTGGTGGTCAAGAGGAGCGCGAGAAGTGTGCGAAGGCGATACGCAGCGCCAGGGCGTCGCTGGTGATGCTGTTCGATGTTATGCGCCTGAGCTCGGCGCTGACCTTGTCCACCTTAGCGCCCCACCTCTGATTGCGCTGCGGGATCTGGTGTACTCGTCAGGCAAGGGGCCCACGCAGAGCAAGATGAGGCGGAGCACTTCGTGCCGGCCACCTGTATGGCGGACGGCGAGATCGAGAGCTATGCGTGGTGCGGGCGGACACTGAGTTGGCAGAGGCGGCGACATCTACCACAACTATCTAACCAAGGTACGTGGCATGTCCGCCGTTAGTTATCGGCGCTGACAGCCATCTTCTCTAGGTATCCTTCGTCGATATGAAGTCGAAGAAGAAGCACAAATCTGCGCGCATCTACAGTATCCGCCACGGCACCGTCCTCGTTGCTATGGATCCCACGCTTGAATCCACCGCCGTGACAGCGACGTCATCACATTCCGTCTACTTTACCCCTCGGCTCATGCCCTCTCCACCTTTCGACAAGGACACTCAGACTCCCTCGTCGATTCTGATCGCTATCGGCACCGAGTTAACGAGGAGATGGCCACTCTCCAAGGCTGACCTCCGTATACTACCGACGCCCTTTCGCAAACCTACCAACGGCTAATCGCGTCTCTATGTAGTGGGGCCTGGACCTTGTTGTGCCCACGGAGCATCGCCAAAATCACACAAGATGTGAACGACTGGTCAGACAAGATGATGTCGTCAGTGAACACGATCCCCTCGCTCTCGTGCTCTGGCCACCGCACCATCAAGTCTTCGTCCCTGCTTGACAACCTAGAGAAGGCGAGGAGAGCTCTAGCCAGTGCAACTGGAGCATGTTGGGAACTGAGGGACCTGGCAGCGTTGCCGATCGCCGCACGGAAGGAAAACACTATAGGCAGACGAAAGCGGTTGTTATTCCCTCCGGTCGCGGTCAACACGATACCGCGGACGACCAGGCCGAACGCCGCTGGCAATGGGCGAGGAGAAGCGGGGGTCGGTCGCGTTTGAAAAAACCGTGATGCGAACGACGGCGAGTTCGTGGGGTGCGGTTACCGGGGAAGTCGAGCGAGTTGTGGAGGAGGAGACGGAACTTTGGTCTGCTGTGTATGTGTCGCTTCGGTGTTAGCTGTGGTCGTGCATGGTTCTTGCCCTCATCACTGTATGGTGTCTGCTCGCAATACAGTCAATCCAAACCAGCTGTACCGCCTTGGGCTTGCTTTGTTTGTCTGCGAGAAAGAATGATTCTGTCTCTCGCTACATCTCGCTCACTGTTGTAGTCAATCTGCGTCACGCGGTGTTTTCGAAGTAGAGACGATACAAATGCAGTCGATACTATAAACACATTGCTATGTGCTATCAGTGCGCAAGCTTTCAAGATAACTACTCAACGACGAGAAATTGAGCCGAGTACCCTGCTTCCCAAACAGCACATCCTGCCCAAGGAATCCTGCTATGCCCTGCCAGTCTGCCGGAACCCAACAGAGCCGTGTCCGCCGAGTTGGCGTCAGTGAGAAGATCCAGTCGTCCTCGATGTAGTACATAGGCCAGGTGCGACGCGGGAGCCAAGAACGCGATGTCGTCGTCTGCGCATCTTCGTTGAGAGGCGCCCATAGCTGAACAACCCGTTTGTCGTCGTCAACTAAGACTCCGGAGCCGTCAGGGGACAGTCGCACGGTGCTGCCCCAGGTAGCCGAGCTGAGGACGAGGAGACAAGCGCCCGATTCAACGTCCCAGAGTCGCATGCCGTTGGGGTCAGAGGAAATGACGACGTCCCCACCAGGAGTAAAGGCGACCGACGACACCCAGTGCGTATGCCCTTCGAACGACTGAAGTAGCTCCCCTCCCTCTGCATTCCACATTATAACGCGACGATCATCACCTCCTGACGTGACGTGTTCTCCGTTAGGAGAGAAGGCGACTGAGCGCACCCAATCGTTATGTCCCCTGCACGTCGCTACACGTGCTCCGGTCGCGACGTCCCAAATGATGACAGTTGTATCGCCGGAGCCCGTTGCAATGCGTCTTCCGTCGAGGGAGAAGCCGACGGAGCGAATGACGTTACTGTGTCCGACAAACTCGCGGATGAGTTTGCCCATCGCGGCATCCCAGAGACAGGCAGAATCCTCTCCAACATTCCCGGCTCCGGAGATAGCCGGTGTGAGCAGGTATTGGTTGTCCGGCGAGAACATGATCGACGACGACTGGCCACCGAAGCAGTGCGGCATATAGCCCAACACGCCGCTCCACATCGACGTGTCCTGGAAAGAGGGGTACCACCAAGCCACGTCCAGCCCGCCTTCCCACCGAGCGCGCAGTGACCCAGAAGCCGCATCCCAGAGTGCCACCCCGCCACGATCTCCCTCTGATGCTGTAAGGATCGTCGCGTCGTCTGGTGAGAACGCTGCGTAGTGCGACTGTTCTGACGGTAAGGATAGAGGCTTGTATGCACGCTCCCACGCGTCTGTCTTGTACATCTCGATGGAATCGTTGTCGCGTACCAGCAGCGCACG